TCTTTCTTTCTTTCTTTCTTTCTTTCTTTCTTTCTTTCTTTCTTTCTCTCTCTCTCTCTCTCTCTCTTTAAGTTTATCGTTCTGTGTCTTTCTCTCTGTAGAGCGCGCTCTGAGCGCGCCTTTCTGGAGCGCATGTCAGAGCGCGGGCGCCACAGAGCCCAGCCACACAGCCCAGCCACAGAGTTGACAGAGAGGACAACAGGAGGACAGGGCCTGGACACAGAGCCCAGCCACAGAGTTGACAGAGTTTAGGAGGACAAGGCCTGGACACAGAGCCCAGCCACAGAGTTGACAGAGTTCAGGGGCGCGGCCAAGAGGAGGACAAGAGGACACAGAGCCCAGCCACACAGCCCAGCCACAGAGTTGACAGAGTTCAGGGCCGTGGCCAAGACGATGACAAGAGGAGGACAAGAGGAGGACAAGGCCCAGCCACACAGCCCAGCCACAGAGTTGACAGAGTTCAGGGGCGCGGCCAAGAGGAGGACAAGGCCTGGACACAGAGCCCAGCCACACAGCCCAGCCACAGAGTTGACAGAGTTCAGGGCCGCGGCCAAGACGATGACAAGAGGAGGACAAAAGGAGGACAAGGCCCAGCCACAGAGTTCAGGGGCGCGGCCAAACTCCAAAGACAACCTATCCTGGTCCCTGGTCCCGTGAACGATCTGGGTGCAAACCATAATCGACCAGTCACTCGCGACCAGGTGGCATGCCATCGGCCAAGGTGGGGAAGTACGCCTGGCCCAAGGGCGTGTCTTCCGAGAGCTGCGTGAGAGCGATGGCGAAGATATAGATCACGCACCTCGGCGCGGCCGGTGCGTGGAGATCTGAATAGTGGGGGTCCACCTCGGTGTACCCATATGGCTGGGTGGGTCATGGCACCCGGACTTCCTTTCACTCACACAGTCACTCGGGGTCGCGGTGGACCATTCTGTGCGTCGTCCTTGTGGTCAACTCAGGAAGAGGGCACGGTTGAAAGACCCGCACCCCTACGTCAGTGAATGTAGACTGTTGATGATATGGCTGTGGGGAACTATTATAGGCACCAGGAGACCAACTGGTTCACCTACCGTGACGGTCGTTTGGAGTCCTGGTGGAGCTAGGTCCTAAGGTGGTCAAAGACCTATGCCCAGGGCGTGCGTCAAAGAAGTTGGATGGCTCAGATTGTGCACAGCTAGGAGAAAGCTCCGTACCTACGAATGTTCTTTGTTTTCGGAAGGGGTTCGGCTGGTTCATTTGCCCAATCATGGGCAAATCGCTTGCCATCTGGTTGGTCGGCCACTGCCAGAGTTGCGATCCTGGTACATTGGGGGCACTTGACTATCCCAAGAGCTGGGACCATCCGAATCCGCACTCGGAGCGAATCGCATGAGGTCTCTTTCAGAACCCTGCTGAACCCTCACCTTCGCACAAACCCCGGCAGGAGTCACGACGTTCGGTTCGGAAACCTGAGTATCTCCGCTGACAAGGACCCCCGCAAATGTGGTCGTGACCGTGCGGCTTCACGGCATCACATCTGATCCTCACGTATCCTCTGGTCTATGACGTCTGCTAGAGTGAAGCTTCAGCTCTATATATATAGGCGCTCACCCGACATAAGAGAGCGCTCGCCCGACCTAGGACAGGACAAGTGTCAAACGTTCTACAACACAACGACATTTGAGAAACAGATGTCACCCGTTCGAAGCACTACCATTTAGCTCTGGCCTCATCCCGTCCTCGTATCGCTCCTATCCTCCGACATCCGTCTAAGCCACAAGAGGATGAGGCAGGTGAACATCCTTGGCAGGAGGAATCCACTCTGGGTGCTCCCGACGTGGAGACCTGTTCTTTTTTTGCAAACTGCGCTGCTTCCCAAAAAGCCCGGGTGAGAATCCCCTTGTACTGGCTGACACCCCCAAAAATTGGTACTAGTATTGCAATCCCCTTTCTTGAAAATTCAGAAGCTTTGGGTTCATTATTCTCAGGTGATGATGGTGACTGTATCTTTTCGTATGCAAAGGCTGCAGCAAAGGGCACGCTGGGGTGATCAAACGGGCCCCAAGCCCGCCCAAGCCTGGACCCGAGACCCAACCCGAGGTTCGAGAGGACCGACCGGAGCTTGGGGAAGAAAATACCACCGGAAACTTGGCTTTGCTGTTCAGGAAGGTGGGAAAGAGAGTAAAACCCTAGCCTTCAAAGACCCTTGTAAAGAATGGTTTACCTGGTTTTGTTGGAAATATGTGGAAACCTAGGGAACAGGTGTTCTCCTTTGTTCGGGCCTTCTAGGGATTCACCCAGGAACTGGCCAATTTACTGTAAATCAAGGGAAGCAAATCTTGGGCTTGGAAGGCCACCGCAAAAGGAACTCTCGCCCATCTCGCCCAGGCACACCGAGCGTGATGCCACACCGATGCCCTTCAACAAAATCATCACCTCGCGCGGCTCGCTCGCTCCGCACGTCTTCGGCACCGCCGAGCAGAGTTGTTCGGCGTTCACCGATGTTTAAGGATTGAAAAAACCGATGTTTGTGAAGGATTTGGCGGAAGATGATGGATGGCTTGAACCAGCTTAAGTGGGAAAGCGTGTTATATAATAGACCCACGTTCGTGATCCAATGCATTGAATCAGTCAAACCCTACGATCAACCTCTGAACAATCACCAAATCTGGATCTGCAGGTTGTGTGGTTTTGCAGTGTGCCAAATTTTATGGCCTGTTTGTAGATTTGATTCCAAAAATGAAGACCACCGTACATGAGGAAATGTCTCAGCCAAACTGCATTCAGGCATATTGACACTCCTCTTCGAAGATTGAAGAGTATCTTCAGAATTCCCCATTCAAAATTACACCAGAGACAAGGAAAGACAAAGGGAGACAAAGCAAAATCATCTCAGCCCAGCATCCAGACATGTCATGGAAAACAAGGGGAGAGAAGGGGAGACAAGGGGAGACAAAGGGAGACAAAGGGCGACAAAGCAAAATCATCTCACCCCAGCATCCAGACATGCCATGGGAGACAAGGGGGGACAAGGGGAGACGAAGGGAGACAAAGCAAAATCATCTCAGCCAAGCATATGAGAGACAAGGGGAGACATAGGGAGACAAAGCAAAGTCATCTCAGCCCAGCATCCAGACACGCCATGGGAGACAAGGGGAGACAAGGAGAGACAAAGCAAAGTCATCTCAGCCCAGCATCCAGACACGCCATGGGAGACAAGGGGAGACGAAGGGAGACAAAGCAAAATCATCTCAGCCCAGCATCCAGACATGCCATGGGAGACAAGGGGAGACAAAGGGAGACAAAGCATCATCTCAGCTCAGCATCCAGACATGCCATTGGGAGACAAGGGGAGACAAAGGGAGACAAAGCAAAATCATCTCAACCCACCATCCAGACATGCCACGGAGACTAGGGGAGACATAGGGAGACAAAGCAAAATCATCTCAGCCCAGCATCCAGACATGCCATGGGAGACAA